GAAGTCTAAGGACATAGTGAGCAGGAGATCGGAACAGGGTGAGTACCTCAATTTCTCTCATGCTTTGCAAACCGTGTTAGTTACAAGCAAATCCGATAACAGAAGTACTTCTCGGGGCACGGTATCCTAAAGGCGTTAAATGCAAATGGATTTTATGTATGTGATTATCTTTCATAGAGTCAAATTCTGCAGACGGTGTAAATCTGGAATGGCTCCAGTGGAATTCCTCCCGCTTTCCACTGGTGAAAGTGGGGTCAGAATTTGCCTTCTAGATATGAAAACAAAACCGTAAATAGTGGCTAATCACCCCCAGCCAACAGGAGAATTTCAGCAGCAAGGTGCTGGCTTGCCTTCCTCTTGCCAGCTACAATATCTTCATCGTGTAATAGTTGATCTGACTTTCTTTTGTTAAGATGGTAATATTTTGAAATGACAGAGAACCGCACAGCAGTTGAGCACAGAGTAAATTCCCCTGCAGAACTGGGTTAGCCTGGAGATGGTATCACGCTGCTTCAGGCTGGATACGTCTCACAAGTTTAGTTATGCAGTTGCTTTAAAAAAAAAAAAGAGGGGAAAAAATTCTTATAATGAATATTCATGACATCAGTGAGAGAACCCTGTAGGATCCCATCTAATCTCTATCTAGCCTGCACTCAGCCCAACAGTAGCCAAGTGCTTGTGGTCTTTGATCACCATCAGAGCCCTTGAAGAGGGCAAGTTTGCAGTGGGAGTTTTCCTATCAAAGCTTAAAATGGGTTGGGATGTCACAGACTCAACTCCCCGGAGCCTTCAGGAAAAAAGAGAGAGAGAATTTTGAGATGGAGTGAAGAGAATTTAGTCACTGATTATAGGCACTGTTTTATACCATGAATGAATGAAATTCCATCCTGACTTAATGAGAGACCTGGCACTTGGCTGAGAATGCTTTAAACCCTGACTGAGATCACACTAAACCCTGATCGCAGAGACCTGTTCGGAAGAGTTTGTGATGCTGTGTCTGGTGGAACGGGGAAGTGCCACAAACTGGAACAAAGTGTTGCCCGGGGTGCACAGGGGGAATCAAGATTTTTGGGTTCTAGTCCCAACTCTGCCACTGACTTGCTGTGTGGTTTTGGGAAAGTCACTTAACATTTCAATATTTCCATGTTTAAAAGGAGCCTAATAATCTTCTCAAGGTGTTAGGGGATTGGATTGATATTTAGAACGCACTTCAAGGCCCTCTGTGCTAGAGAAGCACAAAGCCTTGGTATATAGTTATCACTGCAGTTTCTTTAGGTTATAAAATGAAGAGGGCAAAACTACACGCTTCTTTCCCAGATTTAGGATATCGATGAAATCACAAACACTGCTCACATTGTGCTCAGTGGCTTGAGAATACAGTAGAACCTCAGTTATGAACACCTCGGGAATGGAGGTCGTTTGTTACTCTGAAATGTTTGTAACTCTGAACAAAACATTATGGTTGTTCTTTCAAAAGTTTACAACCGAACATTGACTTAATACAGCTTTGCAACTTTACTATGCAGAAGAAAAACGCTGCTTTCATTTTATTTTTTCAATAGTTTGCGTTTAACACAGTACTGTACAGTATTGGCTTCTTTTTTTTTTCCGTCTCTGCAGCTGCTTGATTGTGTACACCTGATTCCAAATGAGGTGTGTGATTGACTGGTCAGTTCATAACTCTGGTGTTTGTAATCTGAGGTTCTGCTGTACCATTGACCAGTATGTGAGCGGGGATGATGGATTGGCTCTTAGGTTAGCTCCAACTAACAAATGCTGCCGACAATGGGATGGCACCAGAGTCAGTTGCAAACTGTTCTAACACAGGGAGCAAAGCTGACCACAGGGCTTGGCCGTACAGGTTCAATGGAGCACGTTCAGAGCTTTTTGCTTTGCCCTGCTCTCTCAAACCTGCACCACAGAACCCTGGGGAAAGACCTCTTGGATCAGCAACTCCTCCCTTTCCCCAGCCAGTGCAAACGCCCCAACACTATGGGCCCAATCCTGCTCTGTTACACGAGTGTAAACCCAGAGTAATGCCACTGGAGTGTCAGAGGTGCTGGGATAAATCCAGATTAGCCCCATTTTGCTTTGCACTGGTGTAAGTTTAGTGCAGTTATCAGTCCCTTCCAGGACTGCTTAGTTGAAGGCAGGACCTAGGGAGACCCAATGAGGTGACATCCAGGAGAAGGCAGCACAGGCTGGGAGTGCCATCGATTAAGAGAGTCTAAGGCCAGAATGGACCATTGCGATCATCTCATCTGACTCTTGTAGAACACAGGCCAGGGAACGTCCCCAAAATAATTCCTAGAGCAGATCTTCTAGAAAAACATCCAATCTTGACTTAACATTTGTCAGTGATGGAGAATGTTCCAAATGTTAATTACCCTCGCTGTGAAAAATGTACATCTTCTTTCCAGTCTGAATTTGTCTAGCTCCAACTTCCAGCCATTGAATCATGTTATACCTTTCTCAGCTAGTCTTAAGAGCCCAGTGTCAAATATTTGTTCCCCCTGTAGGTACTTATAGACCAGGGGTGGCCAAACTGCGGCTCTTTTAGAAAGCTTCCCATTCTCTGCCTACCACACTGGGGGGAGAGCTCAGGGCTTCTGCCCTGCGGCAGGGTGGTGGGGCTAGGGGCTTCTGTCAGAGACGACTGGTGCCTGGTATGAGGGGGCACAATATAAAGGTTTGGGCCCCCCAACAGCTTGAGTCATGCCCCCAAGGCGCACACACCCCTTATCCTTAGCAGCCCCTCCCTGCAGCTCTCAGGTATTAGCTCTGCCTGGAGAGGCAGCAGCAAACAGCTGGGAGCTGCAGGGAAAACCGCTGCTCCCAGCGGTTTGCCGCTGCCTCTCCGGTCTCCCCGCAGCTCCCAGCTTCCCAGGCTCCCGAGCGGGCCCAGCAAACTCTGGGGAGGGGCACAAGACCCTACATCTCTCAGCCACACGTCGCCTCTGGCTTTTGTCTAGTGGGAAGGGGAGCGTCTCAGGGCTTCCACCCTGCAGGGTGCATCTGCCGGGGCTCGGGGCTTCAGCCCTGATCCCCGAGACCCCCCTCCGCACAAGGCTGAGGCCCGAGCCTCGGCAGGCACCCCCAGCTCTCAAACTTCTGAAGATTGCCGTATGTGGCTCGGAGGATCAGTAAGTTTGGCCACCCCTGTTATAGATTGTAATCAAGTCACCCCTTAACCTTCTCTTTATTAAGCTAAATAAATTGAACTCCTTGAGTCTATCGCTATAAGGCAGGTTTTTTAACCCTTTAATCATTCTCATGGCTCTTCTCTGAACCCTCTCCAATGTATCAACATCCTTCCTGAATGGGTGGGCACCAGAACTGGACACAGGATTCCCGCAGTAGTCGCACCAGTGCCAAATA